GAACTACAGGCGCGCGCTATCACGCCCGGCTAATTTTTTGATTTATTGTAGAGATGAGGGCTCACCAAGTTGCCCAGGCAGGTCTCAAACCCATAAGCTCAGGCAATCCACTCATCTCAGCCTCCCAAAGCGCGGGATTACAGGCTGAGCCACTGAGCCCGGCTAGGATCACATCTTTCTATTGCTTAAAAGTATTCAATGGCTTCCCAGTGCCCATAGGACTCTATGCTGTGGCCTCTGGGTCCTTACGACCTGACCCCTACCTCCTTGTCCATCTTGTCTTACAGCCTCCACCTCTGCTTGCTTTTTTTTTTTTAATTGAGTTAGAGTCTCACTCTGTCGCCCAGGCTGGAGTACTCTGGCACACTCTCAGCCACCCCAGCATCAACCTGCTAGACTCCAGCAATCCTTCTACTTCAGCCTTCCAAGTAGCCAGAACTACATGCATACACTACCATACCCAGCTAATTTTGTATGTATTTTAGAGACAAGGTCTTGCCAAGTTGCCCAGGCTGGTCTTGAACTTGCGGGCTCAGGCAATCCACTTGCCTCGGCCTCCCAAAGTGCTGGGATTATAGGCTGAGCCACTGAGCCTGGGCCCTCTGTTCACTTCTGCCGGCCACATGCTTCTTGCCATCCACAGGGCTTTTGCACTTACCTCCCTCCCACCCAGCACTGCCTTGTTTCCTTTGAAGCAGCTTCACAGCCTACAATGTCTCATTCTTTTTATTTAACTTCTTAGTTCTGCTCCCAATATGACTAGGAGCTCCCACTCCCTGAGGGCAGGACTGCAGCTGCCTTGCTTGCCACAGCATCCCCCAGCCTTAGTATAGACCTAGAAGGCAGGAGGCCATGGTCCAGCCAGCCTCTTCCATGCAGATGGGTCTTTTCAGCCCTTATGTCTTAGGGGCCTCAAGGCTGACAGGGTCCCTCATACTCACCTATTCTCAGGTGACCAAACCAAGCAAATGCTCCTCTGTGCAGGGAGAAAGGAGTTCACTGGCAAATATAACATAAAGCATTTATTAGATTTTTTAAAATACATAATATATTTAATTACCAAAGGAATAGAATAGTATGTATTAGGTATTCTGTGCCCAGCAGTGTGCCAAGCACTTTACAAATATGATCTCACCCTGTATCCACAAACCCCTGGCGGTTAAGAGTCCACATCCCCATCTAGAAATGGACAGAGACTAAGGGATGTGAAGCTACTTCCCATCACACAAGTCTTGGTGAGGCTGCAAGGGAATCCTGCGCTGTCTAAGCCCAGAACCTACACCGCTGGATTATCAACAAGCAGCAGCTGAGAGTCACCTGCAATCCTCCTACACATGTTAGCATTCTTGCACCTATCTTCCTTTTTTTTTTTTGGAGTTGGGAGTCTCACTCTGTCACCCAGACTGGAGTGCAGTGGCTGCTCCCAGCCACCGCAGCCTCGACCTGCTGGGCTCTGGCGATCCTTCTGCCTCAGCCTTCCAAGTAGCTGGAACTACAGGCGCGCGCTACCATGCCCGGCTAATTTTTTGATTTATTGTAGAGATGAGGTCTCACTGCCCAGGCGGGTCTCGAACCTGCGGACTCAGGCAATCCACTCTCCTCAGCCTCCCAAAGCACGGGATTACAGGCTGAGCCACCAAGCCCAGCCTATCTTTCTTTCTTCAGCTAAAAAAATTTAATTTCCATACAATCACTGCACAAGTTATCATAAATCCCCAAATCAGAAGATTCTGACAGGAAAAATTCAGTGTGCTCGGATCTCAAGAGGGATTATGCTCAGGATCTGAGTGTCTGCTTCATGGGACTCAGGGTACACCTCACCGAAGGCCTCAAGGATCTCATGGCAGGATGGGCGAGAGGCTCTGGAGTGAGGAGGACCCACCAGGCGGGAGGCTGGAGCCCAATATGAGCATGCCTATCTCTGGGTGAGGGGGCTGGGCTATCCCAGAGTCCCCACCCTCTCACCTGCTTCCACCCCATCTCCCAGGTTTCTGGTGAAGAGCTACCTGCAGGCTCAGGTTTCCCCCAGCTTATCACAGAGGTCTCTCCCTCAGTCTGTTGCGTATCTCACTGTGCCTGACCTGGCCAGGTGCCCCGCCCAGCAAGCAGCCGACTTCCTCTTTCCAGAGCTCTACACCACGGCCTGGGCACACGTGGCAGTCAGGTAAGTCAGTGCCGAAAAATCAGCCATCCCACCAGGATAGACTCCTTCCCATGCCAGGGCCTTTGAGATGGTTAGGTAGACATTTGTGGATACATTTCTACAAACCACCCCATTCCTAAGCCTCTCCAGTTCTCTCAGCTCCTGGCACATTGGGTAGACAGAGGGCAAGTCCCAGTATCACTTCTCCATCCTGGTCATGGTAACAGAAGGACATACATCACCTCTCTGGCTAGTGATAGAAATGTTTAAAATCTTTATTAGGTTCCTATGGTGATTTGCAATACAACAATTGTACCTACATGTAAATACTATAACTGTATCAATATGCAAATACCTATAAAGCAATACTCATGTTTGAAATATCCCATAATCCAAAATAATTTTTAAAAATATGATTACCCCAAGGGACAGAATTGGTTTATTTCCAGGGTGTAGTAGGCTCCAGGGAACATAGACAAAACTAAGGACTCATCCATTCTGTCATTCAACAAATGCAGTCAGGTACCTACTATGTGTCAGGAATGACCACAGATGCTAGGGGCTGGGAATAAAGAGAGGCAGGTCCTGGCCCAACACAGACACCATGGAAAAGATGGAAAGGTTGAACTGCCTGAAGAGGAAATCTTCTGAACACTGCCCCAAACGAAAACACCAAAAACAAACTGCAAAAAAAAATTTGTGTATGGTAAGAGGCCTTATATCCCAACCTGTGGTCCCAGGAATGGTTAATAGCTATTTCAAGATCACAATTAACTTGGAACATTCATTTATTTATTCCAGAACTATTTATTAAGATCCTACAGTAAGTTAGGCACTGTTCTAGGCACTGGTGATCGATCTATCAGGAAGCCTCACAGAGCTTACATTTTAGCATAGAGTTGAGGAGGGGAAGGTAAGGCTTGGGGTGATTAAATGCCATAATATTTCTCTCTGCTTGGAACTCAATGTGACATCTGCTTATCTAAGCCCTGACAAAGCAAAATAAATATTGCTTAATAAACAGTTTGCTTTACACACAAATTCCAAGGGTCATGGATGCATGGGCAGGGAATAGAAAATAAAAAGAGAGTAAAGTTTAATGAAATGGTAAGTGACTAATTTAGTGGTTTGGAGAACCAGGGTTGATTTTCTGTTTTTGTTTTTGGATCCCTTGGGTAGAACTTGCAGCAGGCTGGGTGACTGACAGGCCTCACTAGACTTTAGAAAGAAGCCACCCTCCTTGATCAGGCCATAGTAAATCAGTCAGCAGGTCGGCCTGAAGACATTGGCGTCAGGATGGAACCTACATTAGAAAGAGGGCATAGCTCCTGCCTATAGCCCTGTGGCTTTACAAAACGATGATTAAGAACAAGTCCAAATTTCTGGCTCTACTCCCTGTGTGACCCTGGACAGGTTGGTTAACCTTTCTGGGACTCAGTTTTCCCCACTGTAAGTTGGGAATGCCTACCCTTAAAGAGATAACGAATATCAAGTATTTAGCTTCATGACACATAAATGGTCGATAAATAGGAATCATTTCCACTTCTGAGGTCCCCCAGGCAGCCCATCAGTTATCTCTGCTACTCAATCAGGTAGATGAACCTTTTTCTCTTTGGCTTTCAGGCTTATAAAGGACTCAGTACATCATTTACAGACCCTGACGCAATCCGGGGCTGACCAGTATGAGGCCTGGAACCAGACCACTGTCATACATCTCCGGGCGGCTAAGGTGAGCTGCCGTCAGCTGGAGCTGACAGGGATCTGTTTTGTCTCCCAGGCTGGCTGCCCTGCTGGGAAAAATCCAAGCTCTGCCATTATTCCCCAGCCCTGCTCCGCGGGCCACTGCCCTCATTTTGCTTCCCAGGCTTTAGTCCAGGGTATTTTAATTAAAGGACTTAACTCCAAAGCAATCTTGCTGGCAGCTCTTGGGGGAAAAGGTAATGAGGCAGTGTTATTGAATTTGCTTCAGGTTGTTCAAATATTTCCTCCCAGATAGAAAAGCAGGTCAAGTCTCCCTCAGTCCCACAGGCAATCCTTGGATGTCTGATTCAATTTCCACTATGTTTTGTGTTTATGCATAATTCAATCAGTTGGCAAATATTTGAGCACCCATTCTGCACCAAACACAGGGTTGGATGCTCAACAGTGAGGCCAACTGCCCATACACTGCCACAACCAAGGCAGATGGGAAATGCAGGCTGCTGTGGAACCCTGAGCAGGCATGTCTGTCTACCTTGAGGAGTCAGAAAGACTTCCCAGAAGTGACAAAAGACTGACCTCAAGGATGAGCTGAAATTAGCCAGCAAAGGGCGGGGGTGACGACTTCAAGAGGAAGGTTTCCAGGCAAAGGGAGCAACATGTGCAAAAGGAGACAAGGAGTGGCAGGTGCTTGGGAGGAAGTGCAGGTCGTCCCAAGGAGGAAGAATGAAACAAGAAGAGGAAGGACGGGAAGGGAGTGGATAGGCAAGGCCTGGGACCTTAGGCCTCGCTGGGAGAAGTCTGAGTTTTGTTTTCAGTGCAGTGGGAAGTCTTTGACAAGTCCATATAAGGGGAGTGAAATTCTAGACTTGCATAGGCTGCAGAGACAGGAATGAACCGAGACCAGAAGCCAGTTAGGAGCGAACAGCAACAGTCTGAGCCAGGACTCTGTGGTCCCAACCATGAGCTTAGGAGAGGGCAAGGGGAGAAGTGAGTAGATGCAGAGATACTAAGGGCGTACCGGAAGGGACAGGCCTCAGAGAGCAATGAGTGGACAAGAGGTAAAAATGACTTCTGAATTCTAGTTTAGGCAGTTGGGACTCTGACTCTGCTAACAACTGGAGAACTAAAAACGATGGCTCCAATCTGCAGGCCTCAGGCCTAGAAAATGACAGCCTTAAAACAGAAAAGCCTAGAAGGACCGCAGAGGCCCTGTGGGGCAGGGGTGAACCGGCAGGCTGGACACAAGTGCACTGGTGACCTGCTACCTCCACCATACTCCCTACTGTGCTAAATGTCCTGTCAACATAGAGGGTTAGCCAAGGGCTTCACACTTTCACCAGATTACCAAAAAGGAACCATAATCACCCATTATTTCTTTCCTTGTCCATTTTCCAAACTTATGTCCTGTCTATGACCCTGCTTGCCAGTGTTACTTCAATTGATACATACAACCCTGTGAGGAAGACCAGCATCATGTCCATTTTAAGGGTGAGGAAAGAATGCAGAGGAGTTAAGTCCCAAATGAAGAATATAGCTGAGTTCAAGTCCTTTCCCACATACCAGGGAGGGTGTGATGAGTAACTGAGGTGAGCCCCAAGCTCTGAGGACTGGAAGCTCAGCCAGCCTGGAGAAGAGCAAGTCCCTGATGGCTTCCTGGGAAGGTGATGCCCCAGCTGGGTCTCCAAGGTCCAAATGGACAGGGCATTCTGTACCTTCTGTGCTCATGAGGGACCATGTACTCTACAGAAAGCTCAAGCACCCAACTGGCCCCATCTGGAAACCATAAATGTGCAGAATGAGAATTATTACAACTTGGTGGAGGATAGGAGGTGCTGACTTTGACAGGGCAGACAAGGAGGAGCCATAGGCTAAGTTCTGGTCCCAGCTCTGCACGGCCTCAAGCAGTCCCTTCCCTCTCTGGGCTTTGTAAAACAAAGGGACATAGAAAAGTCTTTTTTTTTTTTTTAAGAAAAAGAAAAGTTTATTTAAAAGTAAATTAGAGAGAGAAAGAGAAGGAAGAAAGAAGATTCACCTCCCCAAGGTGGGGGAGGGAGCCAAAGCCAGGAAGCATGGCAACAGCCATAGTTCAAAGACCACATGGCCACACCAGAGTCTAGGAAGGCCAAAGAAGAGTCTTTTAAGGCCGGGATCGGTGGCTCAGCCTGTAATACCAGCACTTTGGGAGGGTGAGGTAAGTGGATTGTCTGAGTCCATGGCTTTGAGACCAGTTCGGGCAACTTGGCAAGGTCGCATCTCTACAATAAATTAAAAACTAGATGGGCATGGTAGCACGCACCTGTAGTTCCAGCTACTTGGAAGGCTGAGGCGGAAGGATGACCTGAGCCCAGCAGGTCAACGCTGGGGTGGCCATGAGTGTGCCACTGCACACCAGTCTGGGCAACAGAGTGAGACTCCAACTCAAAAAAAAAAAAAGAGGCTTTTAGGCTCTGACAGGTTCTGGTCCTCTAATCTTAGACCCTGCCCAGGAGAGATGTCAGTCTCCAGGACCACTGGAGCAAATGCTGGTCATTCAGGGTAGCACTTAGGAGTATAGCCTGGGTTTGGATCTCATGGCTACCATTTACTAGCCATATGTCCTTGGGCAAGAAACTTAATTTTTCAGAGTCTCAGGCTCTTCATCTGCAAAATGGAGCTAATAACAGTAGTTACTTTGTAGAATTATGATGAGGATTAAATGATTAATACATGTAAAACTTAGAGAGAACCCAGTTCATAAGTGCCATGCATTCCACTCCCACCCACAGGAGGCAAGATTTAAACCAAGACACACACAAAGTTAGTAAAGTTCACAGAGCTCTGAGCATGGTACCAAAGTTTGGCTCAGCATCCCCCAAAGCACAGAGGCCACCTTCTCTCTCTGGTCCTCATCCTGCCTTCCAAGGCAGAGGCCCTGAAGCAGCTCTCCATCACGCTACTCCTCAATCCAGTACCTTGAACATTTGATGACATGGCCCCAAGCTCAGGTCAGGGCAAGCAGGGTCTAACTGAATGAAGCACAGTCTCCAGTTCTGCCACGTGGACCCTGTCCAAGCAGCAGAGGCTACTGGAGCCAGCACATCAGCTCGTCTTCCACACCCAAATGCTGCAAGACCAACACACTGTGAGCACACCTGCTCTGCGTGGCAAAGTGGAGTCGACAGCACCTGTGTGAGGGCTCCCAGGAAAGGCAGGTTCTTTCCAAGTGAGAAACTTGATCAGGTCTCTGCCCAGATCAGACAACCAAGCCCCGCAGAATAAAATTCTGACCATGTCATTCATAGCCCTTCGCTGACCTAGGCTGCAGGCGTGGGTCCACCCTAAATCCCCCCACTCCCTGCCATCACCTCATTATACCCCAGTGCTTTGGCCTCAACTGCCTTCAGCTTCCTGCTCAAGAAGGTCTCCCTGCCTGGAATGACCTTTTATCCATCCCTCGTCCCCCTGGGTGAATTCCTTTGAATCCCCAAGACATCCTAAGTCTTGCTGCTTAAAGTCACTACCAACAGCATAGTCATCACAGAGGAGCTTGTTATAAATGCAGTCTCAGGCCCTACCCTGGAATCTGCATTTTGACAAGATCCTCAGGTAATCTGTATGCACATAAAAATGCTTTATACCCTCTCCCCCTCATGGAACTCATATAATCCTACCTGACAAAATAATCATGTGCACTTGTCTTGGAGAGAGAAGTATTCCAAATATTTAACAGCCAATAAGAGAGGGACACTAACCAATCAAAATGGACTTGGAAGCAGAGTCCTGAAGACCTCCTGCTGGGTCAGATGTTACTTCTTTAGTTGCTGGACTGTGGGAGAAGTTGAGAGTCCCAGGGAAGGAGCCCACCTGGCAGAGGGGGCTCTCATGGGGTTGATGGCAGTGGTCACTTACCAATAGGTACCAAAGTATCTTAAAACTGACAAAGCCAGACATTACATATGGGCTGAATAAAAAAGCACTGCTTACCTCAAGGAATTTATATTCTAGCTGGAATAAACACCATACACATTTTGAACCCTTACTTTCTCACTCTATGGCACACACACACACACACACACACACACACACACACACACTCTGAATGCCTTGAACATGGCAGATGATAAATAGCTATTTTCTTGAGAAGAGTGGTGCTGTCTTCCACTTTCCTCAGGCCAGTCTCCAACACCCCTGTGCTTTTTTTCCTCCATTTTCAAACCCACTTGAAACTGCCCAAAGCAAGATGAAGAAACCAACAGCCACCAGCCCCGACACACACTCACATACACACATCCATACTATCAAAAAGACTCAGACCCAGAGCAAGCTAGAGAAAAGGTGGCTGCTTGTCAGCCACTAGGAAACACAGCTGCAGCAAGCGTATTCCAGCAGTCTTGCCAAGTTCTCAGGATGACTTCTGGTGTCAGAGATCAGAAATCCATGGCGAATGCATCTTTGTGTCTTTGTAGGCACACTGCCACTATGTCATTGTGAAGACTTTTAAAGAAGCTCTGAAGCAACTAGAAAATGAACCAGCGATTCACCAGGTGCTCAAGCGCCTCTGTGACCTCCACGCCTTACATGGTATCTTGACTAACTCAGGTGACTTTCTCTATGATGGTTTCCTGTCTGGGGCCCAAGTAGACACGGTGAGAACAGCCTACCTGGACCTGCTCCGCCTGATCCGGTGAGTGGCTGAGACTTCAAACCATGTTAGCCTCCAGAGAAAAACCCCAGACCTTTTCCACAGGTCACTTCAAACTACAAAACCTTGCTAATGGGGGTCCTTGCAAAAGAGCAACAGCCCTGGAGAGGTTTATACCCTAGCACTATTATACCAACATAAAACATTATGAATTAATGAAAAAATGGGGGAAAGTTAGAAATAAAAATGCTTAAGAATAAATTAGCTACCTCAATTGAACTCTTCAACACTGTCGAGGAAATAGGAACAGTATCTAAGGAATAGGAATAAAATGAAGCATGCTACACAGGAATGATATGCGCTAACAATAATAGTCTTAATCACAGCTAACATTTAAGAAGCATTTACATGCCAGGCCCTGCACTGAAGGCTTTTACATACATCATCTCATTTAATCCTTACAGCCCTTTGAAATGAATACTATTAATCTCCCTGTTACAGCAGAGGAAACTCAGGTTTATAGAAGTTAACATGCCTGATATAGTGGTTAGCCAGAGGAGGAGCCAGGTACAATCAGGACTGTCTGAGCATGCACATGAGCTCTTAGCCTGTATGTTAAGCTTAAAGTCAAGGTGTTATTTCAGACATATCCTTGTCTTTGTTGAATGTGTTTAAATAAATTCTTACCAAGTTTAGTCAACTTATTTTAATCAACCCTCAGCTTCAAGATGAAATTATTTTTAAAGTTCAATAATTTATATTGATTTGAAAAACAATAGTTTTTAAATGAAGCATTAACACACCACCATTTAGGGTCGTGAAATACTAATATAGTGCTTTCATCCTGTTATTCTATAATCTAAATTATTTATTTAAAAACATATCAAAACCAAAGCCCAACCTAACCAGGATACTGGAAAAAAAAAAAAAACCAGAAATTAAAACAATACAAATTATTCACCATTGTCCACAAGATGAAAAATGCTACCATGAGAAAACAATCTTTCTGAGACCTCACTGGACAGAAAATATGATGCCTACTGTATGGGTGAGTGGCTTTTCTCACAGAACCTCCAATGTTTATCATTTATCAATAAGACTAAGACAATAAAAAGAAAAAAACTGAAATGTTTTAAAAACAAGATTTGTAAGACAGAGGTTTAAAAATATTAGAGCAAATGCTTTTTATTTCTAACAATATACAGTATGTTGCATGCCATTTAGGACTACATATAAGCAACTAGCAGATAGTTGGTGGCCCATAAATGTTTATTCAATTAAATCATCAAAACTGTCAAAAATACATTTGATACAATTATGTCCCAGATATTAAACTTTTCCTAGTATAGGGAATCCAGTGGTGAAAACCATTAAGAGCATAATTAAGTACTGCATAGTTCAAGCCTAAGTATGTCTAACTTTCTGAAGTGCTCAGTATTCAAAGGCACATGAGAGAATAATGTTCTAGTCCTGGTTGGTGGTAATGATAAAATACAAAAGATTGCCTTAACACCCCATAAGCATGTTTTTTTAATTTGCAAACAGCATTTCTAAGTTCTTGCCTTGGCTCCAGAGACTTACAATTCAAGACAAGACAGACAGCACTGACACAAACTGCCAACTTACTCAAGCATCAAACCCACAAATTGATTTACTTACATTATGGTTCCTAAGTAACCTTACTACTGCAGGGTAATTAGGTATGTAACAGATTCCAAGTTTTTACCTATTCTGTGTCACAGTTCCCTGCCTCGATTAGTTATTATAGCCCCAAGATTTCTGAGATGACAAATGAAGGACAGAACAATATTCTAAGTGTCACCAAGAACCAAATCTCTGTGTAATGTTAACTAACTGACCGAATGGTTTTAGCTTGGTTAAGTGGTAATAAAATCTCAGTTGTGAAACTTTAAGGTAAAGACAACAGATTAAATATATGCATTTTTGTTCCTTCCTGAAATCCTACTAAAACATCAGCAAATGGACTGAATTTTTTTTTTTTTTTTTTTGAGTTGCAGTCTCTCACTCTGTCGCCCAGAGTGCAGAGGCCGCTCCCAGCCACCACAGCCTCGACCCTCTGGGCTTCGGCAATCCTTCCGCTTCAACCTTCCAAGTAGCTGGAACTACAGGCGTGCCCTACCTCACCCGGCTAATTTTTTATAGAGATGAGGTCTCACCAAGTTGCCCAGGCAGGTCTTGAACCCGCAGGCTCAGGCAATCCACTCACCTCAGCCTCCCAAAGGCACGGGATTACAGGCTGAGCCACCGAGCCCGGCTGGACTGAAAATTTGTTTCACTTTTTAGTCTTTTGGCTAAGATTGAGTGTGGATTGAAAATTTTTTTAACTAGTGGTTTAGCAGACAAGTTGCACCAGAGAAACCCAGGAACTAGCAAAACTGTACCTCTGGCAGTGGAGGTGACGGTGAGACTGCCAGGATGGGTTGAAAGTCTGCTTCCAGAGGGAGCTGAATTCCAGTTCCCCTCTTCCTCTGAGACTGGCTTCCTTGACCTTGTCGTGACAGAGGGTAAACAGAGCATCTGTGGACTAGGAAACATCAAGCCCAGTTGAGGATAAAGCTACCATACAGCCAGTAGGCACCCTTTATAGGCCAAATGCTGACATCTCCCTCATCTAGCCCTCTTTTCCCAATGGTTCCTAAAAAACTTGGCAACCAGACTAGTACCCTACAGGAAGATAAGATGGTCCTTCTCTGGAATCTGATCAGCCCAAGAAAAAGCAGCTAAAGACACTGATGCCAGAGTCTACCCAATTCACCCCATAGGGAATCCCACATTCACAAGCACACCCACAGGCTTCTAATTGGCTAATTGATGCCCTGCTCTTAGCTATCATCAGATACTCAGGGATCACCAGACACTTGAGGAAATCTCCTAACATAAAAGGTGGAGATCAAGTCAAGCAAGAACAAGACAATAGGAGGATATAAGAGAATCCTTGGAGAGAAGAAAACATTAAAAAAAAAAATCAGTAATATCCTCAGAGTTACGAAGAGATATTGAGATATTGCAACTGCAAAATAAAAACCAGAATGTCATTATTTAAAAAGTAATATTCAGAGAACAAAAAAAAGAACGCTTCGAAATTAAAAAATGATAGTGGAAATGAAAAACTCAATTTAAGGATTGGAAGATAAAGTTGCAGAAATCCCACAGAAAGAAAACAAAGAGACAAAAAATAGGAGAGAAAAGGTTTTTTTAAAGTAAGAGGGCTGGTCGGGCGCAGTGGCTCAAGCCTGTAATTCCAGCACTTTGGGAGGTTGAGGCGAGAGGATTGCCTGAGCCTGCAGGTTCGAGACCAGCCTAGGCAACATGGTGAGACCTCGTCTCTACAATGAATCAAAAATTAGCCAGGCAGGGTAGCACACACCTGTAGTTCCAGCTACTTGGAAGGCTGAAGCAGACGGATTGCAGGAGCCCAGCAGGTTGACTCTGGGGTGGCCGTGAGCCTGCCACTGCACTTCAGCCTGGGCGATGGAGAGAGACTCCAAGTCAAAAAAAAAAAAGTAAGAGGGCCAATCTTAGCTGTCCATCAGCTGAAGAAGAGGTCTAGAAAGAGAAGACAGAGAAAATAGAAGGAAGCAAATCATTAATAAAATAACTCAAGAAAACATCCCTCAAATGAAGAATATGAGTTTCAGATTGAAAAGGGCTACAAATGCCTATAAACTAGAGAAGACAGACTGACACAATAGGTCTAACACATACTCTGTGAAATGGTAATAAGTGCTATGAAGAAAAGGATAGCAGGAAGACAGAAAAGGAATGCTAAGGAATGGGGAAGTCTACAGATTTTAAAAGTCAGAGTAAGTCAGGCATCATGGCCCATGCCTGTAATCCCAGCACTTTGGGAGACTGAGGCGAGAGGATTACCTAAACCCTTGGATTCAAGACCAGCCTAGGCAACTTAGCAAGACCTCATCTCTACAATAAGTCAAAAAATTAGCTGACGTGGTGGCACATGCCTATGGCTCTAGCTACTTGGAAGGCTGAGGCAGAAGGATCACCTGAATCCAGCAGGTTAAGGCTGTGGTGACCATGAGCGTGCCACTGTATTCTAGCCTGGGCAACAGAGTGAGACTCCCACTCAAAAAAATAAAAATAAAAGTCAGAGTAACCATGTGCAGTGGCTCACACCTGTAATTCCAGCAACTCAGGAGACAAAAGTAGAATTGCTTGAGGCCAGGCATTCAAGACCAGCCAGGGCAACATAGCAAGACCTCATTGCTAATACAAATAAAGACAAAAAATAAATTGGTCAGGGAATGCCTCCCTGGAAGGGTGACATTTAAGGAAAGACCTGGCAGAAAAGGGGAGAAGCCATATGCTGGGAAAGAGCATTACAGGCAAAGCATAAGTACAATCATATGTCATTTAGTAATGGAGATACGTTCTGAGAAATGCATCATTAGGTGATTTCATCATTGTGTGAACATCACAGAGTGTAGCTTATACAAACATGGATGGTATAGCCTACCACACACCTTGACCATATGGGATAGTCTATTGCTCCTAGGATACAAACCTGCACAGTCTGTAACTGTACTGAATACTGTGAGGATTGTGACACAGTTCACTATACCATAGGAATTTTTCAGCTCCATGATAATCTTATGGAACCACCATCATATATATGGTCCGTCATTGACCAAAACATCACTATGTGGTGCATGGCTGCACAAATGCTATTGGCCAGAGTGGACTTAGCACATCCAACCAGAGGAGAGAAAAGACACAGAGACAGGAAGGGAATGACTAAGGTGGAAAATGAAAGCAAGGTCAGAGAGTTAAGGGAGTATACAGAGGGAAAAGAGAGAGTAGTAGGGTAGGTCGCTGCCAAGACTTAAGGGCTCTTATTTTGTGAGGATGGAGGGCTTTGAGCATAGAATAGGTACAACCTGAAAGAATCTGATATGTACTTTTAAAGACTCACTCTAGCTTCCATTTTAAGAATTAAGAGTGAAAAGCTGGGAGACCAGTTGAGAGGCTAATGCGATAATCCAAGTAAGAGATGATAGTGGATAGAACTAGTGGTAACACTGGATGTAGTAGGAAGTGGTCGAAATTTAGTTACAACTTTAGGGCAGAATAGGATTTGCTGAGATTAACAAGAAAGAAGAATCAAGATATTGTGCCAGAAGGACAGAGTTGCCATTTACCATAAATACAGAAGACTACAGGTTTGAGCAGGATGAACAGGAGAAGGTCTAGCAGATCAGGAGTTTGGTTTTGGACACATCACATTTGAAGACCCTGTTAGAAATTTAAGTACAAGCCAGGCTCGGTCGCTCAGCCTGTGATCCCATGCTTTGGGAGGCTGAGGTGAGTGGATTGCCTGAGCCTGCAGGTTCGAGACCCACCTGGGCAACTTAGCGAGACCTCATCTTTACAATAAATCAAAAAATCAGACGGGCGTGGTAGTGCATGCCTGTAATTCTGGCTACTTGGAAGGCTGAGGCGGAAGGATCACCAGAGCCCAGCAGGTAGAGACTGCAGTGGCCGGGAGTGGCCACTATACTCCAATTTGGGCAACAGAGTGAGACTCCAACTCAAACAAGAAAGAAATAAAGAAAGAAATCTAAGTACAGATGTTGGTAAGCAGGTAAGTGACAATGGAGGGATAAATCTGGAAGTCACTGGCATATGGTTGATATTTAAAGCCATGAGAGGAATGATAACACAAGGAATAAGCGCATGAAGAGAAGGTCCATGTACTGAGCCTTGAGACCCTCCAAAGAGAACAAGGAGGTGACTTTGACAAGTACTATTTCAGTGGAGTGGTGGGAGTGAAAACATGAATGGCTCCAGTTCAGGAGAGAATGGGAGAACTGGAAATAGCAAGCATAAACAGGCATAACATTTTCAAGGAGTTCTATCATAAAGGGGAGCCAAGATGATAGAGAAGGAAACACTGTCAAAAGCTTGTGCCTAAGACAGAAAAAATGACAGCATAGTTACATACTGATGGAAATGATCCAGGAGACAGAATTCCAACATTTTAGAGGAAAGGCAAGAGAAAGTCTTAAACATTGTTTTCCAATAGATAAGAGGAAAAGGCATCTAGTGGGCAAGGAGGGAATGGACTGAGTTGAGAGCCTGGTCAACTGACCTATACTAAGAAGAAGGAAGACATTGTAGGTATAAATTCAGGCATGGGAATTATAGAAATCCTCTTACTACTTCCCTTTATCAGTGACGTGGAATGCAGAATCATCCAAGTAAGAGACAGGGAGGTGGGTAATGTAGACTTGAGGACCAAAGAGAAGGTATAAAACAGTCATTAAGAGAAGGAAAAAATAAACAAATAGAGCAGTGTCACATGGCTTCTGAGCAGCCATCAGGTCCACCCTTGTTACACCAGTCAGGATGGGTTTTTCCAGCCATATGTGGCTATAAAGTGGTGGCATGAAGTCAGTGGAAAATTGAAGATAAGAAGGGGTAGGTTTTGTTAAACTAGCAAGACAAAGCACAAACAAAATTTGTTGAATATATTTTTGAGGGAACAATATAATAGACCATGTAATTTCAGTTGAATAAGGGAGACCACAAGGGGTGACAGTTAGTGGCAGGGCTCACATGATGATGAGAGGCCATCAAGAAGTATCCCAGTCACTTCAAATGCTTTGGTGACAAATAATCAACACTTAATATTGGTCTGATCAAAATTATAGCTATATTGAGAGGCAGGAACACCAAGGGGAGAAAGAATGGGAACAGGGGGAGGTGAGGGTGAAGAGAGGGGTGCTAAAAATAAATTCTTGCATTTTGTAATTAAAAGTCAACATCTAATATCTAAAACTGCACCATCAAGAAGCAGCAATATAAACAAGATGTTCAGATATCCAGGTAAATACCAAAATATCAGCTAAAATGTTAACAGTGATTGCCCCTGGGGAGAAAAAGCAGAGATGAGATAAGGATGTGCTGTTTGTCAAACAACAAGTCTTAAGGAACTCTTTAACTATACTATACATAAATAACAAATTGAAAAATAAAAATTAAAAAAAAAAAGCTGGCTGGGCATAATGGCTCATGCCTATAATTCCAGCACTTTGGGAGGTCGAGGAGGGAGGATTGCTTGAGCCCAGTAGTTCAAGACAGCCTGGGCAACATGGTGAAACCTCAACTCTACCAAAAAAAAAAAATTTTACAGAAGCTGGGCATGGTGGCATGTACCTGTAATCCCAGCCACTTGGGAGCCTGAGGCAGAAGGATCACCTGAGTGCAGGAGATCGAGGCTGCAGTGAGGTGTGATCGTACCACTGCACTCCAGCCTGAGTGACAGGAGACCCTGACACACACAAAAAAAGCTACACACACATCTGAATTGTTCAAAAACTGAATAATAATGCAACCTCTAGTTAAGTGTTGTTATTCACCAGCCCAGATTAATTAGATTCATAAGAGCAATCTAAAATACTCACAACCTCTTGTTTCCTTTCTCAGGAAGGATGCCATCTTGTTGACTGATGCTTTTGACTTCACCGATCAGTGTTTAAATTCAGCACTTGGCTGCTATGATGGAAATGTCTATGAACGCCTGTTTCAATGGGCTCAGAAGTCACCAACCAATACTCAGGTAGTTGAGTAGAACACATTATAAATTATGTAAGAGAGCAGAAAACAAGCAGTGAATACACCTCCATGACTTCCCATTTTAATTGATTCCCATTAAGTTGGAAATCACTTGGCAGAGCATGTCTGTTTAAAATATTTTTAGAGAACACATAAAAGAAACCAGGAGTGGGAGTGTGGCCTGGCAGGAACAATGAGCCTGGACTGTAATCAGCAAAATGCACTGCTCAGAACTTGGTAAAGGGAAACAGGAGGAAGACCAAAGCTCTAAATCATGGCTTGACACACCCAAAGGCATACACGTAGAATGGCAAACTGGCTTTTAAGTAACAAAAATAAGGAGATAAATCACTGAGGTGGTTTAACCATCTTATTTTCAGTCTTTTAGCTCTCAGTTTTGTGCAGATAAAGGGGTATTCAGAAAGCTTGAGGAGTGCCTCTCTCAGACCTGACTTGCCTGCTAGAGAATCCTCCCCACTCTTCACCCTAAGGAACACAATCTCAGGAGCAGAGAAGGATGCTGTCATCAGTAGCCCATGACAGTCATATAAATGACAATTACAAGGGTTATGGAGAAAAGATTCCCAGCTGTCCTAGAAGAGAACATCAGAACTGTACATTATTAACAGTGAGAAGAGCAAAACTCCAATAGTCTAGGGCCAGGGTATGTTCATACCTCATAGCTCTCTGCTATGAGCATCTTTGGGAAAAGTTATGAAGGTCAGTGAATACATTAACTGGAAAGAAATAAACCCCGTGTTTAGAATTTGGGGAACCAATATTTAAAAGCAGATTTGACACAGATGATCAAAATAAAAAGTCTATGGTACACAACAGATTATTTTAAGTTTTATAATGCAAATATGTTATTCAGATGGTGAAGCTTTTTTTTACCTCTTTGGTCCAATTTCAGAAAAGGTGTCTTAACACCTCATCAGATTGGCAACTCTCAGGCTTTCATTCACACTTAGCAAGGTGTTAGACTTTCTCCTAACAATTTTCAGCCTGTCATACCTCATAGCTTAATTTAACATGATTATCTAAAGTTACAACACAACCACCCCATTTTGGTCCCCAGGAAGGCATCCTTTTAACTCAGCAAAGAAACAGAAACAATTGACCTAAAGAAGGTAGACATTTACTGCCTAGTACCGTTAACCTACTTCCATTGTTTTACTTTTTCTAATGATTAGATGTCTCTACTTGCTAACATTTAAACCATGACATAAAAATACAGCAATGCTCCGACTCCAGACTAGTTCCCATGGTCTAAAGATAAACGTGTGCTCTTTGGTGCTCCAGAGAAAACCCCACCCTGCTGTAACACCTGTCAGGAAATGCTGACATACATAGCTCAAACCCGTTTTACTGGCAACACAGGAAACATTCCAGTTTTCCTGACTCCTTCAACTTCACTAAAGAACATAGGGGACTTTCTCTTTTTGTAGTTTGTTTTTAAGCTTTATTTTAAAAGACTTTCATCTGGATGCTACATGAAAGCAGACTTACCTAAATGAGACATATCTGACCAAGAGGTGAGCAGATCCAGTAAAATGTTGATACACTTCATCATATTCACTATTGTCTATCTCCTCCCACTTGGCTGTGAATGATGGTGTCTTCACTTTCCTAGCTCAAGGGTCTATCACGGAGTAGACACTCCATGTTTATGAAATAAACTAACATGGTTTTATGAGCTACCTGGTGAGATGAAGAAATATGCTGCATACAATACCACAGACTCTCGTCATCTTAGCTTATATTATACCTTGCTAAGAAGATGACAGGTAGAGCACTGTGGCTCCTTCATGCATGGCAATTTGGGAATGTGAGGTTACCAATGACCTTGGAGAACTGTTTCCAGTTAGTTAAAATGACACTCGGCTGACTGCTAATATATAGCCACATGATCTTGCAACACATTTCTGGCTCTTTTAGAGATCACCAAAATAGCACTTTAAAGTGTATTTTTTCTAGTCTGCTGTACATAATTTTGAAGCTGCAATAAGAAACATTTTTCCAGCCGGGCTCGGTCGCTCAGCCTGTAAACCCGCGCCTTTGGGAGGCTGAGGTGAGTGGATTGCCTGAGCCCGTGGGTTCGAGACCTACCTGGGCAGCGAGACCTCATCTCTACAATAAATCAAAAAATCAGCCAGGCGTGGTAGCTCATGCCTGTAATTCCAGCTACTTGGAAGGCTGAGACGGAAGGATCACCGGAGCCCAGCAGGTTGAGGCTGCGGTGGCCGGGAGCGGCCACTGCACTCTAGTCTGGGTGACAGAGTGAGACTCCAACTCAAAAAAAAAAAAAAGAAAGAAAGAAAGAAACATTTTTCCTCATGTGCACTAGTAGAAAAAGGAACACAATAGGTATTTGAAATAAATTAAAACAGCAGCTACGTTGAAACATGCCCTGTAGACACAAAGTACAAATGGGAATATATTTCACTGACATTTTTCTACCAAAAGAAAAGTGCAATGCTAAGTTAAGCATCTTAGAATCACAGGAGTCTCTCTTCTGTCTAGGGCAGATTGTGGTCAGTTTTGTCCCCAGAAAAAATGATGTGCTTTCTTTTGGTTTAGTGGAGGAAATATTGGGGATAATTTCAACAGGAATCCTATATTTCCCTAATTGTTCTATTGTAAAATTTTCCCAAGTAGTATTTAGATGCATTAAACACATCTACTGATCCATTTACTCATTCAACATTCGGGGGACCCAAAAAAACCTGAAATTTATTTATTAAAAAAAGTGTATATTTATTCTTACACGTTTTAAAATTCAGTCACCTTCAAAGTACTCTACATTTGATGCAATACACCTATCAAGATGCTTTTTCCACTGCTCAAAACAGTTTTTGAACTCATCAATTTTTATGCCTTTTAGTGTTTCTACAGTTTTTTGTTTCGCCTCTTCCACATCAGCAAAACGTTTCCCTTCGAGGACTTTTTTAATATGGAAAAAAAAAGTCACTCAGGGTAAAATTGGGTGAATAGGGAGGGTAGAGCTTGGGGGTCATACCGTTATTGGTCAAAAACTGCTGAACACTCAGCGCAGAGTGGGCAGATGCACTCATAAATCACCCAACATGAAATGGGCAAATGTGTTGAAAGAATCTCCAAAAAAAATTCACTAAAGCCAGATGCAGCCTCTCACAACATTAGCTGGTACACTGATGCCTGTGGGTTCCTAGAACACTAGTGGGAAAGCCTGCATGTACTATAAGGGGTCTGCCCTCCAGTTTTTTGGGGGTCCCTCATGCACATTTACCGAGCACATCCTATGTGCCATAAACTGTTCTAAGGTACTGAGGATACTATGGAAAACTAGAGTCACAGGCCTAGCATTTAAGGAACTTACAGTTTTAGTGTAGACAGGCAAAAAAAAGTAAATATTATAAAAGATGGGGCCAGAGCTGTAAAATAAAGAATCAAGACCCTGCATTACAGAATAATGGGTATAAGCTATTCTGACCTAAAATACTGCTTACCTGATTCTACTATCTGGTTCCTTGCTTTGTGGTTAATGTTCAATTTCAAAGAGCCTCAAAGAATCAAGCCTTTTATTTGTATTAAATTTCAAAAGCAAATGATAAGCTGTGTTTTTAATTGGCCACCTGCATCCACAATTTAAAATCTGCATGAGAAAAGAAAGGATGCCCTTTGGAAAAAATGTTTCTCCATATGTTCACACTAAATGAATTTTTAAAATAATTTTAAAAATTAAGAATCTTATGTAATGTTACTTTTTTGAAGCTAAAGACTTAATTTGAAAGTAAAAGTCATTAATCCTGAAAGAACTGTCTTAATAATGCATTTCTTTCTACAAACAGGGAAACCCTGCCTATGAGAAATATATAAAACCGCTATTACAAAATCAGAGATCCAAGCTATGAAATAACCAACAGTATTCAAGAAGCAAGCAGCACTACTGTGTGATAATACTATGACATATACATAAAAATAAAATTTGAAATTATATATGCTTTTCAGAGTCATCTTTTAGATACCACCTGAAATAATATTAAAATAATCCATAGGAGGAAAAAGGCAGAGTGAATAATTGTTGAAGCTGGTCAGTAGATAGGCACGTGGGTATTATTACACTATTCATTCTACTTTTGAACCGTTCCATAATAAAAAACGGTGCCAATATCCATATGCAGCATCTATTTGGTTAAATACCAGGATTTTGCTTTACACAGCAAAAGCCAAGAGACTCATTGGTTGTCACTGTGACTTTAGTACACATTTATCCTTGGGTTTTATAGGACACACAGAATGCACATATAGTTCCCCAAAAGTGCCTATACTTGGTGTAATCTAAATAAAAAAGTCCTAAGAATGCCCTAAGTATCAGTTTTTTAAATCATCTCTTCCACAGTGAAAATGATTTAAAATTTCATAAAAACAGACATAAATGTCTCAAATTACCCAAATATAATCAAGCTACATTTTTCATTTCATTTTCAATTACCCAACAAATAAAACACTCAAAATTAAATCACTAGACAAATTAAATGGTAAAAATATCTCAGCTGGCTACTTTTCCTAATTTACTCATATAAACAATCATTTAGTTGTTAATAAGAAAATCTGAGAAAATTGACCAAAAGCAAATTTATCTCCAGTAAACTGGGCAAGGAAGAGACCTAGATTTTCAACTTTTTTTTTTTTTTTTTTGAGTTGGAGTCTCACTCTGTTGCACAGACTAGAGTGCAGTGACCGCTCCCGGCCACCGCAGCCTCAACCTGCTGGCCTCCAGGATCCTTCCACCTCAGCCTTCCAAGTAGCTGGAACTACAGGCGCACACTACCACGCCCGGCTAATTTTTTATTTATTGTAGAGATGAGGTCTCGCTAAGTTGCTCAGGCGGGTCTCGAACCTGCGGGCTCAGGCAATCCACTCACCTCAGCCTCCCAAAGTGCGGGATTACAGTCTGAGCCACCAAGCCCAACAGATTTTCAACTTTTAAAACCTTGGTACAACTAGTATTATTCCCACATTCACATCTGTTTTCAACCCAAATCATTTTACTTCAAATTGACCTCAGCTCAGCTAGCTCAACAACACACAACTGATTGGGGTTTTTGTTTTGTTTTGTTCTTCATTTTTTTAGGCAACCATCAATCAATTTTAAATAGTACACAATTTTCTTAAATGACAGCCTTGTGCTAGTACATTGATTTACTGAAACTTCAGGAAACTGTCAATAACATTAAGGGATCTTAGTTTGAAGATGGTGAAAATGGGATAATTACAGGTTTCTGGATATTGGTCATTTATCAAATCTGTCAAATAAATTTTCAGAAAGACATGAGCAAAAATGGACATAAACGTTACCTTCCTTTCAGAGAATCTCTGAATCTTCTCATAGAAAGAAGAAAAGGAGTGACCTGCTTGCCTCTGGGCATACAGCCTCAGAGCTTCACTCTTCCCTTAGAAAACAGGGAAGATGTTATGTGACTTTCTTTATAAGGTGTTCTAGCAAACTAGATATAGTTTCACTATAATTAAAATAATAGAAAACAGGGAAGAAATTATGCGACTTTCTTTATAAAGTGCTCTAGTGAACTATATATAGTCTCACTATAATTAAAACAATCCTTTCTATGAGTAACTTTCAAGAAATAGACTCAAATGAACTATGCAAAATAAGACTACAGTGAAATAAATAAAAGTACATACATACATTCCCCAACTGTTCTAGTTCCTTCATTCACTGCAGTTTATTTCTTTTCCTCAGAAATAAATTTAACTTTTATTACAAAATGTATTTGTGAGCTAGGCGCGGTGGCTCAATGCCTGTAATCCCAGCACTTTGGGAGGCAGTGGCGAGAGGATTACCTGAGCCCAAGGATTCAAGACCAGCCTGGGCAACTTGGCAAGACCTCATCCCTACTATAAATCAAAAAATTAGCCAGGTATGATGGTGCACACCTGTAGTTCCTGCAACTTGGACGGCTGAGGAGGAAGGATCACCTGAGCCCAACAGGTTGAGGCTGCGGAGGCCATGAGCATGCCACTGCACTCCAGCCTGAGTGGGAGACTCTGACTCAAAAAAAATAAATTTTATATACATATATATAATTATATATATATAATTATATGTATATATTTTATATATTTTTAAAAATATATATTGTAGGTCACCACAATTCACAAGAACAAAGTGGCTTGAGAGTCATTTTATCAGCCGGGCTCGGTGGTTCAGCCTGTCTGTAATCACGCACTTTGGGAGGCTGAGGTGAGTGGACTGCCTGAGCCCGCAAGTTCGAGACCCGCCTGGGCAACTTGGCGAGACCTCATCTCTACAATAAATCAAAAAAATTAGCCAGGCGTGGTAGCGCGCACCTGTAGTTCCAGCTACTTGGAAGGCTGAGGTGGAGGGATTGCTGGAGCCCAGCAGGTCAAGGCTGCAGTGGCCGGGAGCATACCACTGTACTCCAGTCTGGGCGACAGAGTGAGACTCCAATTCAAAACAAAAAAAACCACAAAAAAACAAAAAGAGTCATTTTGTCTCTGTGCTTAGACAAAGCTGAAATAATGGTCATCTTCAGAGCTTTAACAATTGAAGAAAAATCTGTACTCTTCATAAGTCCTATTTGAAAAAATTTGCCAAATTGTATTTACTGATCAAATACATACTCTTTTAGACAAAATTAATAATTTTATCCATCCCTGCTTCAATGACACAATAGCATTCTCATAAACTTCAACCCATAATGTTCCAGTGAGTCCCCTCAAATCAAATAAAATGTGCTATAGGCAGTAAATATTGGGACATAAAACAAACAACACATACTCTACACAAGGAATATAATTTCCCCCTTAAAAATAATCAACGAACTTAATTTTCATATTCATTTTTTATTAGCTTTTTTTTTTTCTGGTAGACAGTACACTTGGAATTTATACTGCACCAGGCATAAGAAGTAAGATTTCTACCACAGGGACATTTTGTATTCAGAATCCAATATAAATATTTCTAGTCAGACATTTCCATGGCTACAGATATTTGGTTCCTTGATTTATATGCATAGAAAGAAACAGTTGTCATAACTGTAAAAAGCAGTACTTAATAAGTACTTTTAAATGATTGGAACAGTTTTCCTTTAATATTACAATACTACTTACTGGTTTCAAAACTAGGTCACCCTACATGATGTTTTGATTTTCCTCAAAGGCATCATGCGTATTCTGCTTATTCTTTCATTCTTGTATTTTTACCCTTCTAGTTGAATTAGGGACCATTTTTTATCCGAAATCATTTTAGCACTGTAATAAAAAAGCTCTGTTAAGGGTAGATTATATATCATAATGATTTTCAGACTTCTTTTTATAAAAAAGGTATTTGGAGACTCTGAACAGGCACATGCATACTCCGGGTGAAGGGAACAAAACAGGGAGGAGACTGCTAAAGCACAAAACTTCCTTCTGGTCCTCACTGCCTTCAAATAAATACAAATATTTAAAAGAAAAAAAATCTCACACTGTGATTTTTTTTAAAAAATCAGTCTCTTTCATTTCCTGGAGAGTCAGTTTCCAACAACTTCTCTCAGGGTGGGAGATCAGTCATCTGTCTTCCGGGCTAGTCTACAGAAAGTCCAGTTGTGCTCCACTGTGTTCTCGTTGGCCCGCTCACTCATGTGATGCACTCGGGTGTTGCGGATCGTGAAGCCTTGTTTTGTAATGTATTCCATCAGGTGGACCCTAAGAGAAACTTCCTGGTGATAATCACAGGGCCCAAAAGTAAAGGAAACCTGGCAGTCTCTGGTGTCCATCATGTGCTTATTCCACTTGGTAAAATAATTTGAGATGCCTTCTAGTAAGGAATGGACCTTGGTGGTGATGGTTAGTTGAGTTATGATGACAGCTACTGGATTGGAGTACTTAGAAAGCTTCCGAGTACTAGATAGCTCCACAACTTCTTCAAAAGTATCCATAGGATACAAAGGCTTAGGGTCATTGAGACACTGAATCAAAGGCTCAATCTGGTAAAAATCTGCTTCTTTCCGAAGCAGATCAAATTCCTTAAAATCCAGGGGTAAAGTCAACTCTGAAGTTCTTAAGAAGTTGAGGACATATCGGAAAAGAGGTCCATCTCGATCAATGAAGTAATTGCCTTGAGGGTCTCGAGCTGTGGGGAAGTCCCCCCCAAACATAGCTCCAAGCATGGAATCCGGGTAACGCGTCAATGTGGTGAGAGACGTTGTGTACAAGTGTCCACCTACATTTAATGTGACTGGGTCAGTCATCTGAAATTTTTTAAAAGATGATCAGTCATCTGAAATTTTTAAAAACCTAACTTTGACAAATTAAGAAAATTTATGATATACTGAGAAAAGCACAACATTTCTTCAGGCTATAATGTATTTAGTAATCCTATAATGCAAAATGACTTTACTTTCAGTGATAAACCCACCCAGACAAAGGGATCTAACATTTATTTTCAACAGAAAAAAAAAAAGATAAATCTTCTTTAAAGATGTAAGAATGAAGGGATGACTTCCAGAGTGTCAATGTGTCAATAGTTTCAGGCCCAGTATCTATAGAGTTTTCAGGTCAAAGTATATTATGGGAGGGAAAAAACCATTTAAGTTTTTTTCTGATTTAAAAAAAAGGCATTCATTTTTCTGAACTCAATTTAGCATAAGATAGAATTCAAATGATCTGACAATATAAAAATATTTACTTTCAATATTTCTTTTTTTTTTTGAGTTGGAGTCTCACTCTGTCACCCAGACTGGAATGCAATGGCATGCTCCCGGCCACCGCAGCCTCGACCTGCTGGGTTCCGGCGATCCTTCCGCCTCAGCCTTCCAAGTAGCTGGAACTACAGGCATGTGCTACCACACCCGGCTAATTTTTGTTTTAATGTAGAGATGAGGTCTCACCAAGTTGCCTAGGCGGGTCTCAAACCCGTGGGCTCAGGCAATCCACTCACCTCAGCCTCCCAAAGCGCTGGGATTACAGGCTGAACCACTGAGCCCGGCTTACTTTCAATATTTCTTGAGGTTTCCCCCTTAAAAAAGGAACAAATCATGAAATTTATTTTAAAAACAAAAATTTGTGCAGACCTAATCTTGGTAACTTTTTCATGGAAATGAAAGTTTCAAATACAAAGTTAAAATATACAGCTTAGTCGATACAACCTAGCCACAAAAACATAGCATAACCAAAGGCTAACAGCAGCTTAAATTTCATAATCTGATAGTGTATTCACTTTTGTAACATTAATGTTGCGATTGGTCTTTAATTTTGAGAAAAAAGCATCTCTAAAAAAACACATACCTTCAGTTTTAGAAGTCATATTTAAGAAAATATATACTTCAGGTACTAGGCAAGTACAATATTTCTTACCAGAGGAATAGAAAAACTGGGAACGAGTGGGAAAAGAGGCACCTTCTCAACCATTAATCTCCCTAACTAGCCGGGCTCGGTGGCTCAGCCTGTAATCCCGCGCCTTTGGGAGGCTGAGGTGAGTGGACTGCCTGAGCTCGCGGGTTCGAAACCTGCCTGAGCAACTTGGCGAGACCTCATCTCTACAATAAATCAAAAACTAGCCGGGTGTGGTAGCGTGCGCCTGTGGTTCCAGCTACTCGGAAGGCTGAGCGAAAGGATCGCAGGAGTCCAGCAGGTCAAGGCTGCGGTGGCTGGGAGCGGCCACTGCACTCCAGTCTGGGCAACTGAGTGAGACTACGACTCAAAAAAAAAAAAAATCTCTCTAACTACAAGAAAGTTGTCCATGTCATCACCCACTAGACCTTTTAGTAGTCACCTTTTCAGAGTGTTAAGAGCAGGATACTTTAAAAATCAAAACATAATTTTATCTCTCAAATAAGTGATTATTAAAAGTATTTGGAGCCAGACACGGTGGCTCATGCCTATAATCCCAGCACTTTGGAAAGCCGAGGCGAGAGGACTGCCTGAGACTAAGGGTGAGAGAACAGCCTGCGCAACTTAGTGAGACCTTGTCTCCGAACATCAACCAAAAAATTAGATGGGTGTGGTGGCCCACAGCTGTAGTTCCAGCTACTTGGAAGGCTGAGGCGAAAGAATCACCTGAGCCCAGCAGGTCGAGGCTACAGAGGCCATGGGCGTGCCACTGCACTCCAGCATGGGCAAGAGTGAGACTCCGACTCAAAAAAAATAAAAGTATTTGGCAAGACCACAGTGAGTTTGCTTCCATTATAAACGCCAAAAAACAAAAACATCCCAAAAATACATCTAAGATAATTAAAAGGGGAGAGGAGGTTTCACAAATTAATAATTTTCATTATCTTAAGCTATATTATACCCAATAATCCATAAGGGAAAAAAGACACACAAAAATAATTCAACAGCCTTCAAACTGCATCTGCACACACACTCACCATATAGCCCCAGTCTCCATTATCCATCTGCTCCAGCGCTGCGTCTTCAGGAGCCCAGGTTACAGGGAAACTTTGGGAGGAGAAAGACAGACATATGACAGCATATATAACTACGGAAATACAGAGGAAAAGTTTTCCCACCCAACAGAGAAGGCCAAACACCAGAACAACTACTGGAATTTGCTAAACTAAAACCAGCTACAGTGCAAAGGTCTGGGGGAAGAGAGCATTCCCCTAGGGCCTTCTACCTGTCCTCTATCTGTACCTCTGGGAGCCCAACCGGAACTAAGAGACTAAAGGTTTTTACAGAGAAAGAAGTATCCAGGACTTAGGAGAAAGAGGAAGAACTTAGGAAGCAGTCCAACCATTCAAATTCTACTTCTCTTCTGGGAAAATCCAATTTTTAGAATTTCTGTTGGAGAACATGATGATTAATTTTGCAACCTTATCCTGGTACAAACCTATGATGGCCCTCATCAAAAAGGTAACTGAAGAAAAAAAAAGAGAAAATTCCTTTCATCAGTATTTCAGCTACACAAACCAATCATCTCAATAAAAAGCAGAATCAAAAATCATAAACCAACCAAAAAGATCAAAAACTTTCCAAGACACCAATATCCCTTTCTTTTTTTTGTTTTTTTTTTTTTTGAGTTGGAGTCTCACTCTGTCGCCCAGACTGGAGTGCAGTGGCCGCTCCCGGCCACCGCAGTCTCGACCTGCTAGGCTCCGGCGATCCTTCCGCCTCAGCCTTCCAAGTAGCCAGAACTTCAGGCACGCGCTACCATGCCCAGCTAAGTTTTTGACTTATTGTAGAGATGAGGTCTCACCAAGTTGCCCAGGCGGGTCTCGAACCTGTGGGCTCAGGCAATCCACTCACTTCAGCCTCCCAAGGTGCAGGATTACAGGCTGAGCCACCAAGGCCGGCTCAATATCCCTTTCCAAGAGAAATATTACCTTACAGGATTTGATGCATTTTCATTTATTTATTTATTTATTTATTTATATTTTTTGAGTCAGGGTCTCACTCTGCTGTCCAGGTTGATGTGCAGTGGCACAATCGATCATGGCTCACTGCAGCCTCAACCTCCTGGGCTCAGGCAATCCTCCACTTCAGCATCCCAAGTAGCTGGGACTACAGGTGCACGCCACCATGCCCAGCTAATTTTTTTTTTTTTTCTATAATTAGAGACAAGGTCTCATTATGTTGCCTAGGTTGATCTAGAGCCTTTTGTAAACAAATTTATTTTAATATAATGTATTTTAATAAATGATATATTTGTCTTTGTACAACAATCAAAACAAATAGAAAACAATTTAAACACCCAACTGTTAGAGCACAATCTGAGGCAGAAAGAGCATCCCCAATGTGAGAGTCTGTCAGCCAGCACTCATGGAGAGTCAGTCTTGAGACACTGAGAAATGCTCAGATACTAACAATACCAATGTGAATTTATTTTTATCTACAATTCAAAAGCACTTAACCAAATAGTTTCCCAGCTACTGAACTGCCTCAGTCCGTGCTCTCTCACACACTTCAATCCCCAATTCAACCTGCAAAGCAAACTGCAGAGCAAATTTCAAAAGCTCTGGCAAGAGATGGTAAGAAGCATGGATTTATCGGTTATTCATCCAGGAAAAGCACTGACGTTTTTATGTGGTCTTTGAGCAGATCCACTTTTCCCACTTTTAGAGGAATCTGGCACATAATTCCCAGAACAAGCCCAGGCTACAGAAGATCACAAAGGCTCTTTCTCAAAAGGTCACTCAGGCATGTAGAGAACATTTGCATAGCACAGCAGGGGCTGAAATCAGAGCCCGAAGCATCTATTTCTCTCCACCTTGCAAATTCTTCAAAGCAAACAAGCTAAAATGTGGACCAAACGATGTGCAGTCAGTTTTTATTCTTTACACTCAGCAGTTGGTTATAGATAGGCCTCCACATGCCATAAGGTAAGAAATGGAACAAATGTCAAATTCAGAACTATTTTAACAACCTTTCATTCCTATAACTCACTAAGCAAATAGTATATGAAGTAAACAAAATCAAGAAATGGGCTTTGCCATCTTCTTGCCAGCATCTGATTCAGTCACCGATAACAACAGACCAGTAACTGCACAAAATTTTTTTTTTTTTTTTTTTTTTTTAGTTGGAGTCTCACTCTGTCACCCAGACTGGAGTACAGTGGCCGCTCCCGGCCACCGCAGCCTCAACCTGCTGGGCTCCGGCGATCCTTCCGCCTCAGCCTTCCAAGTAGCTGGAACTACAGGTACGTGCTACCACACCTGGCTAATTATTTTTATTTATTGTAGAGATGAGGTCTCGCCAAGTTGCCCAGGCGGGTCTTGAACCCGTGGGCTCAGGCAATCCACTCACCTCAGCCTCGCAAAGCATGGGATTACAGGCTGAGCCACCGAGTCCGGCTTGGGTAATTTAAAAGGTCAGTCATCTAAAAGTTCTGGTAAGATGCTCATCTTTGGCATATCCCATCACCCGAAGTATTCATTCCTGACAGCCTCAATAATCATTCATTCAAGCAACATTTGCTGTAGGTCAACTGTGGATGGGGGGTGAGCAGGGAGCCAATGTATAAAGTAGATACACAGAAACAGGAAAGGTACAATCTCTGTCCTCATGGAGCTTTCCATCTATACAGGAAGGTAACATGTAACAACTTCAGTACAGACCAGAATTCAAAAGTGCTACATAATGGATAGCCCAGCAGAGGCCTGTAGGAAAGCAAGATTCCTAACAGGAAAATGGAGCTCCCTCACTTGAACCCTAAAAGAAAAATTCAGACCACCTGAGAAGGGATTCCAGAATGAAGAAACAATTTTTTTTTTTTTTTTTGAGTTGGAGTCTCACTCTGTCACCCAGACTGGAGCCCGTGGACGCTCCTGGCCACTGCAGCCTCAACCTGCTGGGCTCCGGCGATCCTTCTGCCTCAGCCTTCCAAGTAGCTAGAACTACAGGCATGCGCTACCACACCCGGCTAATTTTTTTGATTTATTGTCGAGATGAGGTCTCGTCAAGTTGCCCAGGCGGGTCTCGAACCCTCAGGCTCAGGCAATCCACTCACCTCAGCCTCCCAAAGCACGGGATTACAGGCTGAGCCACCGAGCCCGGCTGAAGAAACAATTTAAGTAGACAGGGGTATAAAAGTCTTTTTCCCCCCACGACATTCCTGATACCAGTCAGCTTAGCATGGAGTACAAACCCCATTTTAGAGAAGCAAAACAGACCAACAGGGCAGATTAGGTGACTAGCTCAAGGCCCCTCATCTGGGAAGTAACTGAATGAGATCTCTGGTTTTCTGACTGTGTAGTCGAGATCTTTCCATAAGTCCCCTCCTAGGGTAGAAATTAAAAGAACAGAATCCAAGAAACAAGAAATTGAAACAGATTAACTTTAGACTTTCTATATCCATCTAGTAACCCTATTCACCCAGCAAGGATCTATTTACAAATTTTACAGTAACTCAGCCTCACTAAGAAGTCATAAGGGGTTTGTAAAAATTCTCCTGAGGCTAAAACAAAACATGGCAGGAACTTAATCACTGGCTGCTGACTTCTGCCTTCAGTGACATAAGAACTCCAATCTATGAATCCCAAATGATTAAGTGAGAAATGGTGAAACAAAGACAAGGAAAAAAGCAGACATCCGTGTTACAGCTATTATGCAAGGTCTGTCCACTATTAATCCTCTTTTTTTCTTTTTCACTGCTAAATCTAAACAAGATCGCTTCTTGAGCAGTCATAAAAAGAAAATTAACCGATGTCCCTGAATCAGCTCTTCGGCAAAAGCCTAGATTCCGGCAAAAGCCTAGATTCCGGCAAAAGCAAAGATGCAATGAAACCTCAAGCTTAATAATTCAGGAAAGCAATTATAGGAATCTATATAAGCCCATGTTTCTACAAAAAAAAAAAGAAAGAAAAATAAACCCGAAGTCTTTCTATACTTATGTATAAGTCAAAATAAAGTGAAGCAATATCACTACTAGTCATGTTCATGTCCAATAACGATAACTAAACTGACTTTAAAAATCAAATTGTTCATTAAAGAGTTCAAAGGAAAAAACAGTGTTGATTAGTTTAAATTTTATCTCTACTCCTTGCTTCTAAGCATCTTGTATGGAGTTGCTTAGAAGCAGCAAGAAGCAAACAAGCAAGCAAAACAGGAAGAGTCCTGGTCAATCCAATAGCTGGATAAAACCCGGCTTCTAAATTCTGAGTTGATGACCATTAGGAACATCTCAGAAACAATACAGATAAATGAAATAAAACAGAATCTCAAGGAATTTCCAGAATAGTTTCAATCTCTTCTACTAAGTCATTTTCCTGAGCTGCTAACAATTAGAAAATGATTCATATGCTTTTCATCTTCCCTCCCTTCTGGCAGTCTCTGGTGGAGGATTTAACGAGAAGTTAAATGACCACAAGACAGGCAACAGAAAGAAGATCTTGAAATGGGGATCTAACAGGCCAGTTTTACTTGATGATGGCAAAACAATATCTAATATTTCAGAAAGTTTTCCAGGAATGGAGATTACGAGAGTAACAATGAAAAAAATTTTCCTTTACTGTGACTTTCCTAAAGATTGTTCTAAAAGACAGCAAACGCAACCAAGCACCAACTATAAAGCTTAAAGAAAGACTTCTGCTATAAAATCAGTTCGCCCGAAAAAAATCTGACCTTTGATGCAAATAAAATTCACTGGCCATTTCCAAAGAATATAATGCAGTACTGAAAATTCACCCATGTTTAAGTTTCAAGGGTTATTGTGACTAATGCATAAATTCTACAGCATAAAGTGAACAGGTAAATTAAGAAAAACACAGCCAGGCTCGGTGGCTCAGCCTGTAATCCTAGCACTTTGGAAGGCCGGGGCAAATGGATTGTCTAAGCCTGCGGGTTCGAGTCCAGCCCGGGCAACTTGGCGAGACCTCATCTCTACATTAAATCAAAACTTAGTTGGATGTGGTAGCGTGTAGTTCTGGCTACTGGAAAGGCTGAGGAGGAGGAGGGATCGCCGAAGCCCAGCAGGTTGAGGTTACAGTGATTGAGAGGCATGCCACTGCCCTCCAGCCTGGGTGACAGAGTGAGACTCTTAACTCAAAAAAGAAAGAAAGAAAGAAAGAAAAACACATACTGAAGAAGTAGACTTAAAAGAAATTACGAATTTTCTAAAGTAGCAAATGTGAAGAATGCACAATTCAATAGGTTAGCTACTTTAAAAATATAGACCTAAGAACCTCTAAATGCCATTCTCCTTAACACTGCAGATTAGCAATTACAGGCTTAACAGTTATGATGAATTTTTTGAGCACAAATATTCTGGATTTATCATTTCTGCTATACACTAAGAATTCCCCAGGGCAAAAGTCCTACTCCTATATAACAACCCGTACACTGCAATATAAACCTTCAAACTTCAATGAATAATAAAAACTTATAACTACTGCCTTCCCAGAGTTTCCAGGTAGCCCTTTAAAATGCTTTTGTACTGAGACCTTTGTGTCAGCATTCAGGAAAAACACTCAGTAAACTCCCTCCATCTATACTTACCTTCAAAATTGCCTTTGTACTGAATTTTTCTCTTCTTGCAATGTGGGAGTTTGAAAGTGAAATATTTTTTATAGTAACTAGTTCAGTGACATCTAAAGGAGTCTTTGGGGTTAACATTCACATACAGGCCAGCACAAGCAGCCAGGCATACAAGGATAATGTGATTATGTGTTAGATTATCCTTAACCATACACTGCAGAATCGGATTTTTTTCTAAAAGTGATTATTTTCTCTCTCTCTCCTCTCTCTCAATCATGTGGTCTAGAAGAAAGAAGCAATAGGTTGAAAATGACCTTAATACTGAAGAGCTGTCACAAATACTCACAAAATCATAAAATTCCTCCTACCCTCAGTTTCCACAAGATAAACCAGGATATCATCACCAAAGTCATTACACCATTAGACACAACAGAAAGGCAGACACGGCCGGGCTCAGTGGTTCAGCCTGCAATCCCAGCACTTTCGGAGGCCGAGGTGAGTGGATTGCCTGAGCCCGCGGGTTCGAGACCCGCCTGGGCAACTTGGCGAGACCTCATCTCTACAATAAATCAAAAATTAGCCGGGCGTGGTAGCACGTGCCTGTAGTTCCAGCTACTTGGAAGGATCGCAGGAGCCCAGCAGGTCGAGGTTGCGGTGGCCGAGAGCGGCCATTGCACTCCAGTCTGGGTGACAGAGTGAGACTCCTGAAAAGAAACAAAAAAAGGCAGACACTGGCCTACAGGGTAACAGATCAGGGCAAGGAAAGGAGCTGCGGGGCGACCAGCATCCAATGCCACTCCATTACTGAGGAGACCCTGAGAAAACCATTCTGTATGTCCAGCTTCTTCTTGGGGAAATGGAGAAAATAAGCGAGATCATGAATATAAAACCGTGAACTGACAAACATTACACAAATGTCAGGATACTAGTGGCAGCGGGGTAAACAAAATTTCTTCGGTAAAATGAGAAAGTGTGAACACAAGAAGTGTAGAGCACTAGCCTGGAGATGGGGCAAATATGGAGGAGGCAGCCTCTTAATCTGCTTCCCATCTATCCGGGTCCTCCTCTCCCCAGCTCCAGAAGAGAGAACTACTGACAGGTGAAGGGGCGTGACGACCACCAGGCATCTGAGCTCTGGATCTCCGAAGGAACTTCTTTAAAGCATGACTCAGGATTATCTCCAAGACAAAGCTGAGTCCAAATACATACGTGGGTTCCATTTTAAATGGGTCCCAAATACCAAAAGCCAAGACGCACTAAGGAACTCATAAGGTTCCCTCCAAGATGCCTCTAAGTAGTAATGCTTTGGTCAAAAGAAGATTCGTGAAAATTCAAATCACAAAGCTTAACAATGGCACCCCTGCTATCCTGACCACTCCATCCTTCATTATACAGAATCAGTGTCAGTTTGGACCGACGGTTTTCAACCACAGAGAAAATTCCCTCAACCTACCGCCCTGCCGACAAAAACTTGATTTTCCTTTTCCTGGCCTCACAGGTGTTCACTCGAAAACATCTCAACCTTGGGCTGGGCCTGGGCTGAACGCCGCCCCCAAGCTTCTTTCCCATCCCAGGACGATTCAATCAACCGCGAAAAGACGGGCGTGCGAGGCGATGGGCGAGAGACACCCAGGCCCCCCAACACTCGCGGGGCACTCCGCCACCCAAGCCCCTTCCGGCGCGGAGTCCTACAACGGGGCTCGCCAACTTGCTCGAGAACTGCCAGACTCGCCCCGGCACACGGCAACTTCGGCAGAAGGCCCAGACGGGCGCGCCGTCACGTTCCGAGTGCCGGCCCCGCCCCCGGACGCAGCCTCCGCGCCGCCCGCGCCCCCGCGCCCCGCACGGACGACCTCCGGCTGCCGGCGCTAGAAACGCCACGGCAGGCGCGCGGCGAGGCTCGGCGAGGCTCGGCGAGGCGGGGCTCGGAGGGCTCGGCTGCCGTCCGAGGGT